CCTTCTGTAGTGTCATATACTCAATTGTGATCCGAACCATCTGGATGAAGAGCAAAGCTCAGGCTGTCATCATATCCAGCTGCCCTGGTGAGTCTCTGCACACACGTTTCCAGCCTCCAATCCCATTGGTTCCCCCAAATCTGGGCATACTTGGCCATGTGGTGTCACACTGGGTGTCACAGTGGGGTTTCTGTGATTGCTCACTCCTAACTCTCATCTATGTTTTTTGCCTTCTTTCCTTTGACACTAAATCTCTTTTGGAAAAATGGTAGAAAACATTTGCAAGAAAATCATCAGAAGGTAAAAAATCCTTATTCTGGTACTTAGAAACCCTAATCCTAGAACTTTGCCCATTTCCAGAATTTTTTTTCTAGCAGATACATGGATCTTTTGCTGTGCTTTCACATGACCTTGCAAGTCTGGATTTTCATCAAGATCAGAAATTCCTGGCTATGGAAATCTATAAAATGAGCTGAGCTTTCCACCCCAAGACCATAAACTTTTTTTGGACGGCTCTGATCGATTTTGGCAAAAAAAATCTGAGCACAAATCATTTCAAGATGCTTACTTGTCAGCTGCCTTTCCTATTAGTTATGGGGAAAAATATGTTCATTTACCCTAATGGGTTTTACAACACAACTGTAAGAGCACACAACCAGCTAGTGCAGCCAAGTGGTGAGTGGAATCACATCTCACTATGGGGACCAAGCTGCTGGTACTTGACTAAAGCAGGCTCATGGATCACATCCTGTACAGGAGGAAGGGATGTTGCAAATATTCAGATGTCCTTATGTCATAACCTGACACGTGTCAACTATAATGTAAAATTTCATTCTCCTTTCAGGAGCTTGAGCAGAACTGTTTTCTAATGATCCTGTCTTTATGACACAATCATTATTAACTAATCTTGGAGGAAAAAAATGTCATTCTTCTCACCTAAGACACATTCTGCTCTATAAGTCAATAAGTGATTTCCAGTAGTATTAAGTACAGACTAATTTCAGGCTTCTAGATGAGATGTTTCACTGATAACAAGCCCTTATTAATTTTATTTACCTTTTTATCCTTACAAATTACACAGCCTTGCTGTGTTGTTTTCATAAGAGCTCCAAAAAATGGTGTACACAGAGTTATTTCCAATTACCTCAATCAAAATTCCAGCCCTAAGTTTGGACCACAAGAGTTTAAAGATGTTTTGATGAAAAAAGACCTTCTTGTGTATTCACTAGGGTGAACCTAGTTATTCTGACCCAGCAACATGAACAGCAAATTGACATTAATAATGAAATCAGGCATATTATTGCAATCATGCTGGTACTGTTATTCAAATACAGAGCTTGATTCTCTGAGACATGAGTGTGACTTCAGAGAAAATGAGATCAACCAGCCTTGGTGTGAGACTGAATAGGATTTGCTTCTCAATTCAAGCCACACTTCATCTCTGAAAAGCCAGTCTAACAGCATTTCATATTTCATTACTGAGTCAACAGGGAGAGGAAAATGCATGACTGATTATCCCAAGCATCAAAAAGAGTGAGAGATTAAGAGAATGGAGTATGGAGCTTTGAAAATCCTTTGGACTGCAATGCAGTGAGAAGTGTCTAGGTCGTCTGTTTTGCCAGATTGTTTCTTCTCTTTTCTTCTCTCTGGCTGCCAGTTCCTTTCAGAATGTGTCTCCTGTAACACCACTCTGGGTGTGCTTTTGTAGCTGTGGTGGCTCGTGGGTTTTATCACCCTGATACTGTTAGTGGATTTCCTGGCTGAGTGTCAAGCATCAGGAACATCCAGCTCTCACAACACTTCAGGGAGATCTACTTATATTTCCCCTTGTGATTTTGGGTGGCTCAGGTTTTGAGCATCCAACCTGAGCAGGTTTACAAGCATCCAAATGTCAGGAACTACTGAGCCCAGGGAAGGATGGGTTACACATCCCTGGCCTCCTGCAAAGCCACAGATTGAGGGACCCATGCACTAGCCCTGCTCTTTTACTAGCTCAATTGTTCTTTCCCCAGGTGGCAAAACCTCTGCTGGCTACACCAGTCGTGGGTTCATCTCCAGGGCAAAAGTGAAAGCCATCAAGTACAGCATTGTAATTATCCTTGGTAAGTGAGAAGCCCCACGGTTTGTAGCTAGCAAGGATGCTGATGTTAGGAAGCTTGTCTTCCTCAGCTCCTTCCATCAGCAGCAGATAAAGTGCAGTAGATGGCTCAGAGAAGGGACTTGGACCTTCTGACCTTGTTCTTCCCCTCTCCTCTGACTGATAAGCTCCTGGTTTAGGCACAAATGAAATTATGCACAGCCCTCATGTGAATAAAGTAAAGGAGGGACCTTGCCTAAAAGGTACAAATGAATAGATCATCCACTTCCCACCCAGGCTGCCAAAAGACTTGACAACTGAGCTGTCTCTCAGGTTTAGAAGCTATGTATGGCAGGTTAGGTGCTGGGGTGGTGCTAAGGAGAGGAAGGAAAGGTGAGGGATGCAGAGCATTTGAGTTTGATATCAGAAAGGTGTTGCCTGCTGAGGTGGGAAGAATGAGCTCTCCTCTCCTGGCCAGGCAGCAGATGACTCAGTGCAGGTGTCCTCTGTCTCCCAGGGAGATGACATTATTCTGATGGAATTAGGAGGCTGACATTTTTGTCTTGATAAATAAAGGCAGCGTCACACAGGGCTTGTGATTAGCTGCCAGAGCCAGGCAGGAAGGCGACCAAAGGGCGATTTCCACCCCAGGGCTGCCAGCCAACCCCCACTGCTGAAAAAGAGATTGCTCCTCTTTCCAAAGCTACACCAAATTCAGATTGGATGGTATTGTGATAATAGCTGCTACTGAGGTGCTTAGCTCATTGTTTAGTGGCAGAGCTTGCAGATATGAGAGAGGCTGGTGTGATTCACACTTTTCAGAAGCCCAGGAACAGCTTCTCTCTGTCTGAATTTCCCTGCGTGGCAACCAGGGAAAGCTTCTGTCAGGAACAACTACCATTGCAACACCATCAGATGATAAGAGCTCAGGGTTTCAAAGGACCTTGCTCATAATTAGGTACCAAACATCTCTTGATGTGCCAACAGATTATGGCACCTAGCACTGATGGATTTTTTTAAAGCTGCTCCAAGTTGTGCATAGTCAGTGTTATGATCCATACATTGATGTATGGCCCTTTTGCTGCATAGGAAAAGCCAGTTTGGTTACTCTGGAAAACAAAAGGCTCTCTTCTAGTGCATTTATAGAATCATAAATTTTGGAAAAGACCTCTAAGATCATCAAGTCCAACAGTATCTCTTCCTTGCACACTCAGGGAACACCGAGTCAACTGTCAATGCAGAAACACTGATTAATGTGGCATGGAAGCAAACACGAGGTGACCCTGCTGTCTCATTTGGGTCAGGGAGAGGTCATGTGTCTGATTTCACAGATGCCTGTACAATTGCAACCCAGGTTCTCACAGCTCAGCTGAGTGAACTGCCTGTCCCAGCATTTTCGTGTAAATCTTGCATCACAAACCCTTGTGGAAGGAGACGACCTAGAAATTTGTGAGGGACAGATTCATTCCTTACACCTGCAAACAAAGGTAGACACGTGGCTTTTTTAGCTCTACCACCTCTGAACAAAAGCAGGGGCTCTGAGAAATGCAATCCTCTCTTCTCCTCACCAAATTCATCTCTCAAATTGCAGCAGAGAAATTAGAAAGTCTTCTTGCATGCTCCATGGACACAGTGCCTTCAAGCAGCGTGCCAAATGCCACATGGGTCTGCAGTAAGGTGGTGGGAAAGGGTGGCATTCCTTGCTCCTGGGTGTCTAAGAGCCCGTTTTTAATAGGTGGCTGTGACAGGCAGCACTTGTCACAGAGTGGTGCTTTGGTGGTGTGTACCTTTAGATTGGCTGCTGGCTCAGGGGACCATTAAGAGAGAGCTTCACGATAACTGATGGCGCTTTAACTGGCTACCTATTTACCCTTTATGTGTTGTGTGGTGTTCAAAAGTGCCTCAATATGTCTAGAGGGAGCACTCTAAACACTTAGAGGAGCACACACAATATATTTTATGGGCATTAAAATAAAAATAAAGACAAATAAAAGCACAATCTAATAACCATTCTCTTAAATAAGACCCTGAACAGGGAGAGGTGGGTGTTTTTTTTTTCATGAACAAATAATTACGTGTTATGACAGTCTCTCTGTGTGTGATTACCTCCCTAAATAGCTGAACTACCTAATGTCAAGCTCTTCCTCCCTCTCTCTCTCTCTCTCCTCCAGCATTTGTTCTCTGTTGGAGCCCTTACTTTCTTTTTGACATCCTGGACAACTTCAACATACTCCCTGAGATGCCTCCGTGATCATCCAGAACCTGCCAGCCTTGAACAGTGCCATCAACCCCCTCATCTACTGCCTCTTCAGCAACCGCCTCTGCCCCCCTTTCGAGTAGTGCTCCTTTTCTGCCACCCTGACTACCCTCTAAAAAGGGAGGGGACACATAATCACAGTCCCTCAACTGACTGTTTTCGCCTCTTTTAATTCTGACCATTCCTTACTCTTTTATTTTTAGGCAAAGAAGATCTCGGAGGTTGGGGGGGACTTTCCGAGACAAGAGTGATGGAGGGCAGGAGATGCAGGTCCTGTCCAAACCAGACTACATCTAGCACAGATGATGCTCTGCAAAGCTACACCAAGGAGAGCAAAGGTCCTTTACCAGCCCCACGCATCATGAGCGGACAAACCCAACTGGAAAGAGCTCTCACCTTGCTGCTGTTGATCAGCACGTGTATTTTGGATCAGCACTGCACCTTCAGCAAGCACACACTGCCAGTGCCAAGCTCAGTACGAGGGGTTTGCATGCCACAGTTGTGAGGGCTCATCTTGCCCCTTTCATTTTCAAGCAAGCTATAATGTATACATACTCCAAACAGGGAAAAAAACAATGTAAATGGTGTCTAGTCAGAGTCTTCTCTATTTTTCGAGTCACTAGAAGTCATCTACTGTACAAGCTGGCTCATATAACTGACAGACAGTATTTAAAAGTACTTAGAGAGCAGGGACCCTACTTGAAATGAAAACACAGGCACTTTTCCAAGGAGAACACACCACCATCACACCACCTAATTATATCCGGGTTTCTTCCACAACCACTTAGGAAGCCACAGCCAAAGAAAAGGGGACTGAAGGGCTGGCTTCCTGCCTCCCACCTCTCCTGACCTCACTTCTGAGCTCACACCATTCCACCCAGCCATGCCATCCCTGCAGCTCATCCTCCCTTCCCTGCTGTCCTACCCTGGCACACTGGTGGCACCCCGGGGTCCCTGCAAGGGCTCCCACAAGACATATTCAGATAGTCATTTAATTTTGGGCTACTGTATTTGCTAAGCACTTGCCAGTCCCTCCAAGACCCCACGGTGCATCATATGCACAGATCCTCATGTGCTCCTCTGTGACAAAGGCCCTGAGCATTCTCTTGGGGACCCTATGGGGAGGTGCCACACAGGGCAGGTCCATCTCAGCACCCACACAGCAGCATTTCCCTGGCTCATGCCATCTGTAAATCATCCACATAGCTTAAATCGTGCAGGAAAACATACACATCTTTAGACATCTTCAGAACTGGAAGAAAACCTGAGTGAAACCATAAAACTCATATTGCATTTAAAAACAAAAATCATCTGTTGATGGTCTAGTCTTCTAAACTCATTGTAGGGTCTCCAGAGCATGGGGCATCAGGCAGAGCCTTGCTGCAGAGCATCCCAAGCAGTTGAGCATCCCCATCCTCTGCCCTTGGACCATCCTCTCATGACACTATTCTCAAATTTAAGGAGAAACATTCTCACAGAGGTTCAGGAGGTGGGTGGATGATATTGACTTCAATGTTCATTTTACCATAAGGCAGCTTGAAGTGTTTGTATGATAATAGCCTCTAACCAGTCCTGTGGCAAGTGTGTTTCTTTCCTCTCAGTAAAAAAAAATTGCATTCTTCCTTCCATGGAGTCAGTTTAAAGAGGGCTTTTTTTATTACCATGACTCTTTGCAATGCATTTGTTCCCTGCAGAACAAGAACTGAATAAAAATTATTTCTAATTACCTATATTACCAAAATCTTTTTTCTTAAGTGGGAGATACATAACATCGTGGGGCTTTATGGTCTCAGGAAAATAAATAAGGCTGCTCTTCTATTATTATGGAGTTCTATGAAGTCTAAATTTTGGTAACAGCTTAATTAAAACCATGAATCTACACAAGCCTTTACAGCAGCCACCTTGGGTAGATTGTATATAAGAATTAGACAACTTTTTTTTCTTGTGAACATGTTATAACTTTCCCAAAAGTGGACTGCTTGGTTTAAGCTTCATACTGATATAAATTTAGGGTTTTAACTTTTTCATCTGATACATACACGTTGGCTACCTAGCTCTGAATAATTAATGGAGTTCATGAACTTAACACTTGGAAATCAGATAACATTTCTGAGCACTACTTTGATTTGCAAATTTAATGTGACTTAAGATCACTATAATTTACATATGATTCATGGGGTCACCACATGAATTATCCCATCCAAACTAAGACTATGCATCAGTAAAGATAGGACTCTACCCTCAAATGAAGTCATTATCCATTTATTTCCAAAGAAACTGGAGTTTTTTTCATTCATTATGGGATTGTGTACCATTCACATGCTGTTTGTATCCTTTTTCCTCTGGACATGTTTGTGATGTCCTTCCTCATATGAGGACCTTCAGTTTAAATGGCCTCACATCACTTTTGCCTGCATCCTTCCTACTCTTAAATACAGAAATAAATATTTTATCCCTTTTTCTATCCTGCTTTCCTACCGTGCAGGAGATGACATTTTACTACCTTTTTTATATAATCTCCAAAACTTTTGTTGTAAAGAAACAGAAAGAGAATAATTTTCCCACTAAACTAGAAAACACTTGCATGGCCCTTCTTTGTCTCTTGGGAGTGTGATTTAGGAAATTTCACCTGACTCCAGGAGGTTTCTTATTCTTACTCCATGTCTACAACTTGCTCTATACCTGTCAACTGTTTAGCTGCTTACTGGTGACAGAGTTGTTATAAAAGACCCCACAGCTATGAGGAGAGAGAGCAAAAGTCAGTGTCAAGGTCCAAGCACAAGAAGAAGAGGGCACCCAGCTGAATCATCTCGTGAGGAGCTGTGGTTGTCTCTAGCTCCAAGATTCATCTGTGAGATCTTTCCAACATTCCCACAGCAAGCAGAGACGTTTGTATGCATGACAGTTAGGACATTAAATCCTGTATGATGAAGCTCTATGATTACAAATTCCCAAGAAGCATGAAAAATCAGATACTCATCCCTCGAAGTCACATCAAACAACAAAGGACTGGGATGCTTCTCAGAGTAATACATTCATTCAAGAGAATAAAAAATGTGTACTTTCTGTGACAGGTTCAAATAAAATCTGAATGAGAAAGCTGTTTAACTTGCTCTTGGACATTTTTTGAAGTAATGTAAAATTCAGTTCTCTCAGTCTAGATTTCCATCTGTTGCTAAAAGTGTAAAGCAGTGTTTTGTCTTTCATCTTGGCTTTGCCTTTGAAATTTCTGTCTCCTTTTTTTATATTTACTTTGAAAAAAAAACTCATGTAAGACAGCAAAATTTAACATCCAAATCACTGGATATGAATACTCTGCTAATGAAATGCAGAATTCCCCATTGCAAACGTTGGAGAATAAAGTAAAAGCCTACCTAGAAGCACTCCTGAGTGCTGCTGACCAAGACCTTAGAGGTGCAGACAGTATAAGTCAAAAAAAAACCACCAAGGGTAGCCACTGCCTCTCTGTTTGTAGATTTGGGGATTTTTTTTAAAGAGAAAAAAAGGAAAAAAAAGGTGTTTTTTAAAGAGAAAAGAGAAATAATTAGACCTTTTGGTATGATACAGGATGATTTGACTTCCACAGAACAAAAAAAAAATGAAAAAAAAAGAATTTTTACACTTCTCTAAGACTTGCAAAACAGAAATGAATGAAGGTCCATATTCTACAAGTTAGCTAGATATTTAAATATGAATTGTTTTAGTAGGAATCAGGCACATAAATGCCATTATGGAGGTGGACTTACTCAGGATTCCTGGGGACATGGTTTAATGGTCATGGTAGGGCTGGGTGATGGTTGGACTTGATCTTAGAGGTTTTTTCCAACCTTAATGTTTCTAAGATGTTTGTATAGTAGTGACTATTGAAAGCATCAGACCCTTACTGACAGCAGCCTCTAAGAAGAAGGACACATAAGCAGAAGAAGAAAAAAAATAGTCTGCTACTTATAATGCCAGGGCTTGAGCTAAAATAATAGCAGAAAGCTTTATGTCTCTTCAGATTTCATATTTTCTTGATGTTACAAGATGCAGGAAATGGGGAAAATCCTCTTTTAAACCACATGACCCTACACAAAATATAGGGACAAAAGACTTAACCAAAAAAAGAAAGAAGATTTTCCGAGTGACTTTGGCAGAGAGTTCTCAAGATATGGGTGCTTTGGGGTAACTGACCCAAGATAATTGAGAATAAACTCTTGGCACTTTCTTTACAAGGAATACTGGTGAGATGCCTCAAGTTCTGCATCCTTTCAGAAAACCCTACCTGGCTCTTTGTGCTTCTGACAAGAACCCAGAAGGCATCACGCTACCTGCCACTTCACCTTCCCCCTGACAAGGACAGCATGTGCTCTTCAGAAATACTCAAGGGGAATAGAACAACCACAAAAGAAAATAGGCAGAAAGGACAGCAAAAAAAAAAAAAAAAGTATATATTCACTGTGGGCACAAGTCCCTTTTTGTTTGAGAGAGGAATCATTCCACAGATAAAAATAACCTAGTGCAGAATCTGTCTCTACCTTCCAACCCAGAGCCTGGTACTTACAGGAGCAGAGATTTTAATTTATTCATCATCCTTGGGGAAACATGATTGATTTGGGGAAGAAATGCGATTTTTAGTGTAAGGTAAAATATGTTTCCTTTTCTTTAGCAAACTGTAATTTATTTTACACGACATTCAATTTAGATAAGCATTATAGCTGAATGGTTCATTAGATAATCTTTTGTCATGTTTGATGGCATCTTATCCTGCATACATATAGAATATGGGGGGAGAGGGTTATGCACCAAAACCCAGGCATGAGCTGACAAATAGGCAACGCCGATCCCTCAGACTGAGTTGGTTATAGCAGGATGTAATTAGAAGCTTAACTGTTAATTTAGACTCAAGCGTGGCAAATGAAAATGGGCTAAAAGTCAGCAGCTTTAATAAATTCAATCAAATTGAGCAGCGTCCGAGGCAGCACGCAGAAAGAACTGGATGATCTTCAGAACCCAAATAGCAGAAATGTGGGGAAATGTACCTAATAATCAATTAGATCAATTATGAGAAATTCTGCTGCAAATTGGGAGCTCTCCAGCTGGGAATGTCTGAAGAGAAGATAGTTTTGAGTGTGTTCATTGGCCAGAGGATGCCTGGTTACTGACAGCAACATGGGCAGTGGGGTCAAGGAGCTGGTATGACCCCAACAGGTACCTGGTGAAGCATTTGTCTGAAGAGCCAAGGTTGTGCTGGTGGCACTGTTGGCTGCTGCTGAGACCACTCTGTGCAAAAGGGGAGAGAGAAAGAACATAGTAAA